CCGTGACCCTGACCGGCCGTCCTCAAGGTCAGGGGTCAGAGGGGGAGACCATTCCTTCTCAGACCGGTCAGTCTAGAGCAGTGCTTGGGTTATCAGCTTTGCCTGCTGTTTATAATGTCCTGAAAATTCAAAATGTCCTTTTTCACTCAAAGTGAAAATTATATGTTCTTTTTACTCAAACTGAAAATTCAAAATGTCCTTTTTCACTCAAAGTGAAAATTATATTATGTTCTTTTACCAAAACTCAAAATTCAAAATGTTCTTTTTACTCAAACTCTAAATTATATATCATGTTTTTTCAAACTCAAAATTGTATGTTCTTTTTACTCAAAGTTAAAGTTATAAAAAATAATATGTTCTATTTACTCGGAGTCAAAATTATGCGTCCTTTTTACTCCAAATTTAAAATGATGTGTCCTTTTTACTGAAACTCATCATTCTATGTCCTTTTGACTCTAAGTTAAGACTATACATCCTTTCTACTCAAAGTAAAAATTATATGTTCTTTTAACTGAAGTTAAAATTATTTGTTTTTTTTTACTCGAAGTTAAAGTTTTGCAAACTTTTTACTCAAATTTAAAATTATGTGGGTTTTTAAAAAACTCAAACTCAAAATTTAAAATGACTTTATTACTCAGACTCATAATTTAAGATGTTCTTTTCACTCAAACTCACTTTTTAAAACATCCTTCTTTTTATTCAAACTAAAATTCAAGATGTTCTTCTTACCAAACCTCAAAATTCAGACGCACACAGAGTAATAATGACATTTCACGGACATTTCCAGATCCCCCCGCGACCACGATTCTTCCAACCCCAGTCTTCCACGGCCTCGCCGACACAGACATGAGCTACGTGATCCCAAGCTGGGCCAGGTCAGTCATTTGAACACATTTGTAACTGCAGGTGGTTGAAGGGTGTCACTGGTACGTCCTACTTCTTTTCCATCTTTCCCTCCGTTGTTTCTGTCTGTCTGTCTGTCTTTTTTCCATCACTAAATAGCCGTTATTGTGTCGATGTGTTTCTCTTTCATCAAGTTCCAGATCTGCAACAGACGTTATGAAAAAACCAAACAACCCCCAATCAGGAAGAGATAGGTGTTCATAAATACAATCGGAACAGTTCAACATGTCTTATCTCTCCTCCCCCCCCT